TAGGATGAGAACAACTTTTGGGAAAACAAGGCTATGTGAAATTCAATGGAAACGTCAGCTCAACTCATATCCTGGATGAGAACAACTTTTGGGAAAGCAAGGCTATGTGAAATTCAATGAAAACGTCAGCTCAACTCATATCAATTCGTGGCAAATTTCTTCTTCTACCAGTCCTCCATCACCTAAAACGAAATTGGGTGAATACATCTCGTATTACTGATTAAAGCAAGGTTGAAAACAACTTTTGGGAAAGCAAGGCTATGTGAAATTCAATGGAAACGTCAGCTCAACTCATATCATTGTTGTGGGAAAATCATACTACCAGTCCTTCATCACCTTACACGAAATAGGGTGAATACATCTCATTACACTGATTTACTGGTAGTTTCGACTACCAGTCCTTCATCACCTTAGACGAAATAGGGTGAATACATCTCATTATGTGAAATTCAATGGAAATAATACCAGTCCTTCATCACCTTACACGAAATAGGGTGAATACATCTCATTACACTGATTTACTGGTAGCCTCTAACCAGTCCTTCATCACCTTAGACGAAATAGGGGGAATACATCTCATAACATAAAGGAGTTTTCTTGACTCAGGCCAGTCCTTCATCACCTTAAACGAAATAGGGTGAATACATCTCATATTACTGATTTACTGGTAGTTTCGAAGAAAAGCAAGGCTATGTGAAATTCAATGGAAACGTCAGCTCAACTCATATCATTGTGGGAAAATTCTACTACCTCCTTCATTACCTTAGACGAAATAGGGTGAATACATCTCATTATAAAGTTATTTCGTTAGTTACAGTCAGATGTCAACATTGAGGCATGTGAGTATGTATGTCTCTATGCGTTTGCCTATGCACGAAGCCAATAGTGATGGCTTAAAGTAATTAGGACAGCAAAAGTAACGTATTCTCTCAGCCAGCATTGTTTTATGATCATTATCTTCCACTTTCTACAAACATGTTATGACTATCACTCCGATCGCGTAAAGTCGG